CCACCCCAGGCTGCCAATGAACGTAGAACATACGTAACTGTATACACGTATGAGCGAATGGACATATGAACAGATGTATGGACAGGCGAAAGGTCTTTTGGGTATGGCTGCTGCCCACCTGAAAAATTTACTAGCCCTTACCGGGATAGGTTATTTATTTTTTTTCCCTTCGTGCGTTCTCTTCGCGTGCCTCTTTCGCCTCGCGTTACAGTCAGGACGGGAAGGAAGAGCCTGGACGAGAGGAGGTCCTTGCTGATTCCACCATTCAATTTCACGATCCTTAGTCTAAAATATGACCGCAGCTAAATCAGGATTATCGGCCGTTGAGGAGTGCATTGTGGGAGCGGCGCCTCCGCGACGGTCCTGGTGGTCCTCAAGCCAGGATAGGACAGGAGGTTTTTACATTTTTCATATTTTTTCACATTAAATCTCGACCGTCTCTCAGTACCCGATATCTTCTGACAAAAATCCCTGTACTCTTCCCTTCTAATTATTCTGCCGCGTGTATTGCATGTTTTTTTTTATTTTTTTTTATTTTTTTATTTTTTTTCTTCAACGCATCCAGCCGTGCCAATTTCGAGACTGGGCGCGGCACCGTGTAAGTTTGGGTTACAGACAAATTTCGCGAGTCCGAGTCGCGGGGCGCCATTAAATCATGCTTTGCTTCACGCTTGTCCTGCAACTTGCTGGCCACAACAATATTCGGCGTAAGCACGCATGCGCCCGCGCACGCATGTGCGATTCCTCCTGCGAGTCACCGCGAGGCCGTTTCGTGCCGCAGGAAAAGCGATTCGATCGAGCGACGTGCAAGAACAAACAAAAACAGTTGCGCAATGACGAACAACCGAAGGCTCGCGGAGTCACTCTCAAAAATGAAAAACTCGAGTGTCTTAGCCTGGAAGGAAAAAAAAACATTTTTTTTTCAAAATTCAATCCGAATAAGCATAGACCGTATACGAAAATTGTTGTACGTACTCGCAAAGACGTAGGACCCATTACTGATCACGTATAATAAGTGACAGTAAATGGCGTAGGCGTCAGCCAACGGTAGGTATCGATGATATTTATTGCGAATATTTATGAGTCCCTGGATGCTTTCGTGCTTTCATACTTGCACGTGAGCGAGTAGCTCGTAATACTTAAAGGCGCAACTCAAATGAAGCCGGCAGTGCAATTTCGGCGAGTTCCTCGTCGCTGCAGGTAAATTCGCCCTTAGACAAATGTATGTTATTACACTTCATCGTGTCTCGATGTAACGAGGTAAGAATAGTCATTTGAAAAATTCACGACCACCCGATACGCAATATACTCGTAATGGTTTACGAAAAATATATACAGATACGTGCGAAAAGGCACAATGACGTGTTGCCATTAAGAAAACTCGGGCAACGTGAGCTTTTAATAACGTCCTCAAGCCCGTTCAACTATTTTGCAACGATAATGTATCTATACCGTACAAAGCGCCATTAAACGTTAAGGGTCTCGGCTAACGTGAACCGAATCCCAGGACGAGGACTGCTTACCCGAAGGAGTCGCAAACGTTCTGCAAGACGGGAACTCGAGGAGTAAGGAACATTTCGCCGCATGAGTGCAGCCAACGGTTATGCGCTCATATAGAATCGTACAAAGCCATATAGACTATTATACGGCCCCTGCCAGCTGATATATGCACGACGTTCCGTATCCACTTACTTCCTCGTTTGGCAGAGGACTTCAAGCGATTTAAAATGGGTCACTCGAGAAGCGCGTGCCACGGGAAGATCGAGAAATCGAACTAGGGATTTAGTTGTTGTTGTTAGGTTCAAAACAAAATTTTAAGGGTTGAAGGGGGGGGGGAGTAGGATTTTGGAAGGCTTGAATGATGTTAGCCGTAGTGATATTAGAATGCTTGATAAATCATTAATCTTCTGCAGATCTTCACAGTGGGTCCAGCGTGATCCTTGAGAATGAGAATTCAATGGGATTGGAAAGAAAAGGGACTGAACTTCGCAGCAGTCCCATTGTCGGGCCCCGATTACAATTTCGAAGACATCGATGGGTGCTGATGGTGGATATAGTGCAAAATTAATATTGTAGCTGTATGTTATGGGATTAGGGCAGGAGGGGCCTGGTGGTCCCATTGTATGGTCAAATTGGGCATTACTGTTTTGAAGATATCATCGATCGGGGGAAGCATACTTCAAATGAGTTTATTGCCGTGAGGTGGGTTATGGGTACTGGGTATAACCTTCTGGTATTCGTGAGAGGGCCCACCATCTGTTGGGCAAAGAAGTCGAGGACCACTGTGAGAGGGAGGACCCGGCATTGGGACCATAAGCCTCTTTCGGTAACATTTGGGCCCTTTCCGCAGCAAGCCGCTCGACGTAATGGTACCGGTAGCCGCGGGGGACCTTTTGCGGGCATAGCTTTGCTCTTCCTTTATTTATGTCCGCCTTCTGGCCCGATCCCCTGCGCCGATAAGGGAGCAATTAAAAATGGCTCGTTCTACGAAAATTCGGAAACGAAAATAAAAGGGGCCCACGCGTCTGCAGCTACTTTTTAGTGGACAATCGTGACGATAGGAGGAATAGGGGAAAAAAGATACGTTGCCGGGCGACTTTTATTTTTGTCGTGGGAAAGTTTTTGCTTGGCTCGCGGTACCCGTGGTCGTGGCAAAAATCTGAATAAACATGGCCGCGCGCCGATACCTACGTGTATTCCTTCCGATATAAATAATAAGAGCGCGCTTATCCCATCGCTATAATTCAATTCACACCTAATAATGTGACCGTAGAATTTCCATATTACAGGCTGTAATAAAATTAAAAATATTTTCGGGGCGGCTTCAAACCCTCGGGGGGTCCCTTCCTGAGGACCCATTCGACTTCACCTGCCCTCTGGATTCCTTCCTCGAACAGTTCTCGTCCTCTCGAACCACCTCAGGGACCTCTTTCATGGAAGATAAAAAAAATCGGCACTATCCGATATACGATCATTTGAATTTCCTAAACTGCCACCATTTGAAAAACTCAAAAATTTCAATGGACTTCATTACAATTTGTATTCCCTTGAAACCCTGAAATTCCACCGACCTTCTGGTACTAAAAAAAAAAAAATTCAAATTTGATCGAATCTTTAAGTTGCTCAAATACCGAATCCTAAAGCCATGGAGATCATTTTCAATGTGTCAAATGGACCGGGGACCAGCTTCTCTCATACGACCCAAAACATCTCCAAGTATCATTCATGTTCACCGATTTTCGATATCCCAAGGTGCTCAAAGTCTCTTCTATCCTCTTTCATTTTCCTTCTCTGTCTTTCGATACCACAAAA